AAAGGGAAACTTTGAATTATGCGAGCATGCTGCTGTTATTAGGTGTGCTCTAAGCCTCTAAAGACTCTAAGTAAAGCTCACTTGATAACTTTAGTTGTCAAAGGATATTATTCATAATTGACTTACTCAAATCGAAAAGAATAATAAATCATTTTTATAAAGAGTTAAATTTAAAATATTGTGACTATTAAGTCAACAATCAAATTAATTACAACTAAATCAACTAGTTTGAGTTCGTGTCCCAATTAAAAGGGAAACTTTTTTTTTTTTTTTTTGAAAGGGAAATCAACTAGTCAATATATTCAATTAAAAGGGAAACTTGAATATATTGAAAAGAAGAATAAAAGTTCACCTTGTATAAGTCATCGGAAATTAGACCCATCCCATGAGCATATGGTATTTGGTAGTTCCATTCCTTATTTAGGTTGGTCATAGGGTTTCCTAGGAGATATCCCTGCAATTATGACGTGTCATAAGACATATATATATATATATATATATATATATATATATATATATATATATATATATATATATATAGTGAAAGGTTCCCGTGCGGATGTGCGGTGGATTAATGTGCGTAAGATTTGTACTCAATGTGCGTGAGTGTTGTGTTTAATGTGCCTGAGATTTGTATTTAATGTGCGTGAATGTGCAAAATGCAGCAGAAAATATTATGTCAGCTTCTTCCCCATCCCCAGTAGCCATTTGCCCCCTCCCTGATGATGATGATGCGGAGGCGAGCTATGGAGGTTAAGGATTATGGGAATAATACAATAGAAATCCACATTTTGTTGCTGTGCAAATTTTACTGTGCGTGCGTTATTTATATAAACATTCAACTGCATTGAAGGTAGCTGATAACCTAGAATCCATGGCCAAATTGAAGGAAGAAGTAACAAGAAGCTTGGACATTAATGTGCGTGAGTTTCTGTTCTGCTTCTTTCTGAGCTCGTAATTCTGAAATACTCAAGCACATTAAGCACAAATCTCAGGCACATTAAGTATAAACCTCACGCACATTAATCCACCATATATCCGCACGGGAAGCAACAAATGCACCTATCCCTTCCCTATATATATATATATATATATATATATATATATATATATATATATATATATATATATATATATATATATATATATATATAAGACATAAACTACAGATTCATAAAAAAAAGGAAGGGAAAATAAACTAACCTTTAGATTAATCCATGGTGTAACCCTCGCCTCAATTCCTTAATTGTCAGGACATTAAATTAAATAGGTCATATACATTTTTTTGTTGAATTTCAGGTATAATATAATAAATGTTTTCAACAAAGCTAAGTTCAAAACAACTTTAAATGATTTGTTATATGTCGTTTTTTATTTTTATTTATTTTTTATTTTTTAAGACAAGGTTGACACAATTAGAGTTGTATCTACATACCTAATACAACATTGGACATGCATGCTGCAAATTTACTACTATTTCTGTTCCATTTATCTGTCCTACTTACTATTCATTGGTCAAACAAACTATTTATTCTTTCTTTATTTTCTTTAGTATCTTTTACTTAATTTTAAAATTAATTTTTTGTGTTTAATATAATAGTACTTTTAATGTACGTAGTTTCTAAATATATAATTTTGTATACTAATACAAAACTTAATATTATGAATAGTTGAATTAAAAATAACTCCAGTCAAGCCTCGTTAACCGAACCAAACACATAAAATGGGATGGATAGAGTATCATTTTCCTAAATCTTGGCGGGAGAGTTGAATTGGTAACCACAAGGTTTTAAGTTCATTCTCAATGGGATTGAACTGCACATTAACTTTACTGTTAACGTAGACTGTTTTATCTTCTTGTAATGATTTCTCGGTTAGAACCACAAGACGGACTGCACCTTGATAACACATTCTAGTAATGATTAAATACTTTCACATGAATCAAAGTTATGGAGAAAAAGTAGCCTATATAGTTAAAAGTTGCAAGAAATTAAGGAAGAAGACAATGCAATCATATTGTAGGGTTTTACCATCTGAAATAAATTGAGTAATAATGGGCACAAATATGCCAGCATAGGACTCCCCTCCCACATAGAGAGCATTGGAGATGAAGTTAGGATGCTCTTCCAGCCACTGCAAACACATGGTGAAATTATATAATCAAAATAAATCTAAAAGTATTATGATATTATAACTATTATGTGAAAAAAATCATAAATAATGATAATATATATAATTAATATATTATATATGTATAAATAAAAATGTAAAGTTAGAAAGAATTTGTAAATGTATAAAAAAAAAAAAAAGAAGAAATGCAATATTATTGAAAAAAAGAAAATTGAATGTACTATACACTTTAATTGGAGTATACAATGAATCATACCTTTTGAACAAATTGATATCCATGGATACCAGCTTGTATATCATCAGAGTGATTAGCTCTAACCGTTGTTGCATAAGAAAATCCTGTCCCCACCGGTAAATCCAAAAAGATAATATTTGCGACCTGTCATTTAGTATTAAAATATTTATTACTTTGAAATTATTATCACATGTTAGACATTTTAAGAACCATAATAACACATTATCTATTTCCTGCATCAAATGAAAAAAAAAAATTAAAAAACACCTAATTTACCTTGGTCCATGCATAGGGATTTAATGACAAAGTTGGGAGGCTTCCATTGTACTCCACCTTATTAAATCGCAGTGGCCCTGCATTTATATATACTTTATCATTTTAGTTTGGGTTAATTATACTGTTAATTAAATTTAATTAATTAAAATGTTTTTTGATATTTTATATCATTATCTGGTGATATATTTTAAATTAAAGTAACAAACTTATTAAATAAAAATATATTAAAAAAAATTAAATTTATGACCTTCAAATATAAAAATTATACTACACTCGTTTCGAGCATATATGATCTTTGTATTACTAAATTCGGAGCTTGAATTGCTATCAATCGTTGACTTCCTACTCTTAAAAGTTTCATTGAGATTGGAGTCACCATTTAAAGTTATATGTATGTCTATGGATCCAATCTACTTTAAATGCATCCATTTAAAAATTACAAAATCAATATTTAATGGATGGCTTATTAGTATTTTAAAAAAGAAAATTTATGGGAGAGTCCGTATAGTAGCTGTTATCAAGTTACACATTAAGTAAAATTCTCATTGTGATTTTAGTTGAAAAAAGACTATAAGAAAATAAATTAACATAAATTGTGCTATAGTAACCAGTTTAAATCAAGAAGGTTAAATAGGCAATTTTCAACTTTCTCGGGAAGCAAAAAAAAAATAGAACATTTATGTTGTGGTAATTAAAATCCAAAACTTTAAAAAATGGACAATTTATGCATTGTATATATATACAAACATATCACCATCAATTTTCATAAACAATTTGTTATTAGCTTACCATTATCGAATACAACAGACCATAAACCAGAGCAACCTGGTCCTCCAGTTAACCAAAGAATAACCGGATTTGTGTAAGGACTCGACTCTGATTTAATAAAATAGTAGAATAATTGAACATCTTCGTCTTCACCAACTCCTATATACCTATTATATATGCACATAAAATAAGCAAATAGAACCGTTTTCTTCCATAAAAAAAAAAAAAAAAAATTCATGTTCAAGTCCATTCTAGTTATACATTAAATAAAAAATGAAGAAAGAAAAGTGAACAAAAAAAAAATAGAGAGAGAAGGAAATAAAGACTCACCCGGTTTCAAGCTCAAAAGGAAGCGGTCCTTCATATCCCGGCAGATGCTTAACGGCAAAACCGGCAGCCGCCGCTGCCACGGTGGCCGGAGGAAAACATAGCTGTAGTACTAGGAGAAGAAACAACAACAACGTAGATGGACCATGTATACCCATTGCCTTTGATCAGCTAGTCAACGTGCAAGATTTCATGACCACACACACTATATATATAGTTGGACCACATAGATCTCACTAAAATATTATTATTACAACTTGAAGTTTTTAATTATTATTTTTTTTTATTGAAGTAATTCTAATTTTGTTGGACTAATCCTAAGCTCACAATCAAATTATAATTTTCATGTGCGCACAAGATATCCAATTCAGATCTTCCATCATCCCTGAATCTTTTTTCCATATATATACTTTCAGTGGAATTCAATTTTACATTGATGCCTCTTGTCATGACTTGAAGTTTTTAATTATTGATGAGATTAGTGTAAAATGTGCCTAGTAACATGAAGTGTCTCTCCTAAATAGGAGGTCATGAATTCAAGTTCTAGTGAGGACGGTATTAATTCTTTGTACTTCAATATATTAAGAATGTAGATATAAATAAATATTACATTACAATAGTTTTTTTAGTAGCACTAAAAAAAAAAGTGCGAAGTCACATGACTCTCTCCCTACACATCCATGCTATTTAGACATAGAAATAAATGATATGGAATACTTTATATTATCCCTTATGAGTTATTTATCAAATTATTAATCCCGATTTCACATCTCAATGCAAATATATGTCATACTTCTTTTTTCTTTTTAACTTTTTTTTTAATACTATACATTATTAGACTAATATAGAAAAAAAATTCACTTTTGATTCATTAATTATTATACATGTATCAAATTTGATCGTCAACGATTAATATTTTCAAATTAAGTGCATGACAGTATAATTTGTATCACATTTAATCCTTGACTATTAATATTTTCAAATTAGGTGCATAACTTTGTAATTTGTATCACATTTGGTCTTACCGTCTAAAATTTCAACCAACTATTGCTAAAAATTCAATGAGATCAAAAAATAATTTTTCCGGCAATAGTTGGCCGAAAATAATTCATAGTCAAATGGTGGAAAATTTCGATCCATTTAGCTTTATCCATTAAATTTAAAAAACATTGTTAAAGACACCATAGGTTCCGGACATTTAAAACATATAGGGGATATTTGGTAAATAGCTGTTAGCTAATTGAGTTAGTGTGTTTGATTAGTTGATATCATTAGCTGATTGTAGAAAAATATTTGGTAAATTAACTGTTAGTTGATAGTTGATTACATATAAAATTACTTTCTTAAAAAGCTAATCGGAAAAGCTACTTTGATCAGTTTTTTGAATTTTAGAGCAATAAGTTGTTAGAAAAAACTAATTAATCAAACACTCATATTAATTATTTAATTAAGTCAAACAACTAATAGTGGTCAAACAAGTCAAAATTGACTAATAAGCTAACTACGTTGCCAAACAAGGCAAAAGCACCATACATAAACTAAAGGTGACCATTTTGTATCCATTTTGCAAACATGACTAGAGCTTGATAAGGTGCAGATTCAGGAACTGTATGTCCTCCTCCCTGCAAGATTAATTTCCCATAAAAAATAAAAAACTATTTAGTTTTATTAAATTGTTTAAAATAAAAATTATTAAATTCTTTCAAATTTCTCCTCTTCTAGTATGTCTTGATTTGGTTAACATAGTCTTTAATCGACCACTGTTGATTGAGAAAAATGTTAAATAGACCCTGGATTTTATACAAACAATAATTAGGCCTATGAACTTTAAAAACTTGTAATGAAGCACACCAATTTGTAAATTTTGTGCATATGGACCAATAGCTGATTATTCACGGGTAATTATGGTCCTGGCAACCGAAACCAATGACTAAGAGGTTGCCTTATTTTTAAATTTAAGGGACCTAATTAATTTATTGTATAATGTTATTTTTCATAAGAAAAATATTTATTAGAAATTTATGAGGATTAAATATAAAGTCAGAGTTTAATCATAAGAAAATAAGAGTAAGTTAAGAAAATTCTTACCTTCACTGTGGCAAATGTCATCCCATTTGAGTAAGTCGTTGTATATCTGTAGTTTGATAGTGCTTGTAAGTTATTATTATTTAAATAAAAATATATAAATAAAATAATAATTTAAAAGAAAAATTGCATTTTTGATCCGCCAACTATACTATACCAATGACATAGATTTAGTCTCTGAAATATATCCATGACCACATTTTAACATCTAAGTTATGCCCAAAGTGTTGATTTTAGTTGCTGAAGCTAAGTATCAATATAGTGACTTTATTAAGTAACATATTGGTGGCAAAAATAGTCCCTGAAAGACTAAAATAGCGACTTCATGAATAACTTAAGGTTAAAGATGACCACAAATATAACGTAAGAACTAATTTTGTACCACATGTATAATTGAATGACCAAAAATACAATTTTTCTTAATTTAAAAATAGGTTAATAATTAGTCTCAGAACTCACCCAGCAACTTGATCATCAGTCCACCATGGTTTCCAATCATCAACAATTGAATAGTTTAGGGCTTTTATCCATGCTTGGGTAGAAATAAATGGTATGCAAGGATCATGGTCACCACTGAGATCATAATGCACAATATGTGAATATTGAATCTATTTTATGTAAAAAATTATTTAATGCGATTCACGTTTAGAAAATCATATATTTTTTAATTATTCAAAAAGTTAATATATAATCACTAACAAAGGGTGATTGGAAAAATTAATAATCATTCATTTTTAACTACGTTAATTTGTAAGACATTATTTGGCCAGAAAAAAAAAAAAAAGTACCTGTAAATAAGAGATTGATAACCTTTGGTGCTGAGGTATGCATGATACGATGTCACATCATTTGCATTTCGTGTGTATGATAAATTGGAATTGCAAAATTCCCAAAGATCAACCGTTCCCTGTGTTTAGACATGCATGCATTTTAGTAAGTACTTATTTAGATTTTTTTTTAATTTTTATTTCATTTTTTAAAAGTTAATTTGAATTTAAAATATTAAAATTTAAATAAATTAATCATTGAATCAGTATATGAGATAATTATAATTTGATAGGGGTAAGATGTAATATTGTCAAAATGGGTCGGCGGGACAAGGTTCGCACCTAGAAAAAGTTAGTTATACTTTGTACCATGGTATTGACATGAGGTTCATTTTTAGTAGATTGAATGTTCATTTTTGTCTACTAAATGTTTATTTTTAAGTATATTACCTAAAAATAAAATTAAACTTCAGTACAGTGAAAATGAACTTTCAATATACAAAAGTTGAACATTTATCTATGGTTTACAGTATAATTTTTCCTAACATCTCGTCTAAGCGGGATTATGGCAGGCCGATGGACATATATAGTTCATTTTTGACAACTCTAACTAGTGGGGGTGGGGGCAATTGTTATGCTGTGGAACCGTGTCCACCTTGCAAGGTGGACACGGTTCTATGTTCATAATTATAAAACTTCATATTCACAATTATTGAACTCTATATTCATAATTAAAAAACTCTATGTTCATAATTACTGAACTCTATGTTCATAATTATAAAACTCTATATTCATAGTTTTTAAACTTCATATTCACAATTATTGAACTCTATATTCACAATTGCAGAACTCTATGTTCATAATTATAGAACTCTATGTTCATAATTTTTAAACTCTATATTCACAATTATGACTGTTTTGGAACCGTGTCCACCTTGCAAGGTGAATACGGTTTCACAGCATAATTTGCCGGGGGCTGGGTGGGGTGGGGTGAAGTAATTATACCTTCCTGACATGAATAGCATCACGAACAGTTAGTTCATTGGCCCAGTAAGTCATGAGGGTATACCAATAGTCCTGCAAGGTAATGATATTATCATTAAATTCTCCAAAAAAAAAAAAAAAAGTAAAAAAAGCAAAACGAATTGAAGTAAACAATAACAGGAAATCTAGGATTTTCAGTTGAAAATTAGATTTTCTATCATTTTGAATATTTGAGAAATGCCTATTATTTGAGTTATTATGATATCGAATGGCTAAATGACTCAATATCATCAACTCATCAAAAGGGCCCGATCCAGGGCCTCCTATAACCCAAAAAATTTTCTTCAGTAGTAGTCAGAATTCTAAAGCCTTTAGCGCCACTACTATATAATAATACTTAAAACTCTATATTATTTATTTTTAATTTTGTAGGAAATGTATCGTATAATATAATGTTGCAAAATTTAGTAAAAATAAAGAAACAGAATATAATATATATAATTCTTACTCGGCATTTTGCAGTGATGTGGAGTGGAGTTATGAGATTGGTAAGCTGTCCAAGAGATCTTGTTTGGTCAAACAAATTAGAATAATCAACATTATTACACACCGGCTCCGATTTGGTAGCAGGATCATCATCAGGACAAGCAGGCTCCAAAATGTGAGACTTGTATAATTTGCTATACCACTGCAAAAAAGAGTGTCTCAAACTCCAATATAATAAGTCAATAATACATACATGTTATGTAACGTTTATCCGTTACTATTATTATAACATTAAGATAAGTTATGATAATATTCAGTATTTTATATGTGGTGCAACACTAATAACTTAATAGCTAGACTACCATTATGATTAGGAGTCTAGTTAGGGTTTAGGAGACCTAAAGACAATCAACCACAATGATGGCCAGTGGTTATATAAGGTCATTAGTCCTCTCACTGCTCACATTACATACCTCATACACCATATAAAGAGAGCTGAGTAAAGTGAGAGACAAAATACTCGTTATCTCTGCAGCAGTCCGGATCGCTCAACCGCATCAAGAACTATGGCTGGAGGTTAGTCGATCCTATTATCACATATTATAGTGATGCATGTGATATTTTAGTCTAACATGTTATGCATATATAGGCCCTGTTTGGTAAAATGGCTGTTAGCTGATATCTGTTAGTTGTTAGCTGATTGTGTTAATTAGAGGGTATAAATAGTTGATAACAATGGTTGATTGTAGAAAAGTGTTTGGTAAATTAGCTGTTAGCTGATAGCTGTTTGGTATAATTTCTTTTCTCAAAAAGCTAATTGAAAAAGTTGCTTGGAGTAGCTTTTTGAATTTTAGCCTTTTGAAGTTGCAAAAAGCTAATTAACCAAACATTTATATTGATATTTTAACTAAATTAAATAATTGATAGTGGTCAAATAAGCCAAAATTGGCCTATAGGCCAATTTTTTACCAAACAGGGCCATAATGGAAATTTGTAAGAAAGAGAAATTGTTGTGGCAAAGAAGAAAGAATGCACGAGTTCTTGAGTTTTCCCAAAAAAAAAAAAAAAAAGAAGAAAAGAAATGTGTGATTATATATATATAGATTCAGGATTATATGAGAACCCTTCATTAGAGGAGAAGGTGGGAACGGAATGAATGTACTGTATTATTGTGCGAATGTACCGTGACTACTCCCAGGTCTCTGTCCGTTCTCCAAGAATGTCTGGAGTAGTTGCGCTATATTCATTCAGTAGTTCACACATTCGTACCTAAGACATGGTTCTCATGGGATATATATATATATATATATATATATATATATATATATATATATATATATATATATATATAGGTTAATATGATGATAACCATCTCACGTAAAAACTGTGGACAAATCTGATTCTTTTAATTTTCCTTTTGTCTCCGACCAAAGACAAAGTTCTCTTTGTCTACATGTCAAAGACGAAGATCTTTTTGCCCTCTTTTTGCCCCCGACCGGAGATGAAGAAGGTTTATTTGTCTGGAGACGAATACTGGGTCTTCGTCTGACGAAGGGTGGGAGAGGTATAATTTTTTTTTTAAAAAAAAAATATTTAAATTCATTTAGAATTATTAAAATTTTAAAATAAAGTTATTTTTAAAATTTAGTAACTGGCATGTTAGCTATTATTGTTTAAATAAGTCATTTTTTGTTCAATTACATTATTTTACGTTGTTCATGACTCGATTGCAGTTTTTTAAGTTCGATAACACAATTGTAGTTTGGTACATAGTTTGATTACATATATCACCTTTATTCTATATTATATATACTTGACGGAACAATACAATCGAAATTAATTAATAATGTAAGTTTTCAAAAATAGAATTCGAACCTGATAAAAGGTGGTGGCATCTTGCAAGCAGGCCAAATTGTTGGGATCAACATTTCGATACTCCCCTCCACAGTGACGTTCTAGTGACTGTTGAACAGACATTATATCAAATTAATTATGATAAAATTAAAAGGGAAACTTTGAATAATTATGCGAAAGCAGGCGGCTGTTATTGGGTGTGCTCTAACGATTCTAAATTTTAGCTGTTAAAGGATTACAAAAAGGTAACTAACTAGTTTAAGTTGTTCATATATAACTGTATGTTTCAAATCAATAAGGCTAATAGGTCATTCTTATGAGTCGTCAAATTTATAATCTTGTAATTATTAAGCCAACAATTAAATCAACTACTAAACCAAGTCAGTTAGAGTTGTCCCAATTAAAAGGGAAACTTGAATTTATTGAAAAGAAGAGTAGAATTGCACCTTGTATAAGTCATCGGAAATTAGACCCATCCGATGAGCATATGGTATTTGGTAGTTCCCATACTGTTTTAGCTTGGTCATAGGGTTTCCTAGGAGATATCCCTGCAATTATGGTGTGTCATAAGACACATATCAAATGTGGACAATGCTTCTCGTGCGGTCGGTGCAGATTCACTATCAAGTATACATAAATGCACCACATAATGTTCGAAAATGCACCATAATGAAATGCATCAATGCCCTACAAAACGCACCACACACCAAAAAAATACACCACACCTCACCACACTTAATGGTGCATATCTGAATATTTTGTGGTGCATTTATGCGTACGTAATGGTGAGTGACCGTACCGCCGCACTGGAACTTGATCGGATATATTTATTGAGAGACATAAACTATAGATTTATCATTAAAAAAAAAAAAGAAGGAAAAAATAAACCAACCTTTAAATTAATCCATGGTGTAACCATCGCCTCGATTCCTTGATTGACAGGACATTAATTAAATTAAATAGTTAATATACATTTTTTTGTTGAATTTCATGTATAATATAATAAAGGGTGAATCAACGATTTGGTCCCTCACTTATTCGCGACTTGTCAATGTTGTCCCTGAATCACGTATTCATCAATTTAGTCACCGAAAATAATTGTTTTTCATCAAATAAGTCCCTCAGGCTGTTTTCCGTCATGTCTCAGGCGAGACCTCCGATTTGCCCTGGGCATTTTGGTCTTTTCACGCCTTCTTCTTCATTAACTCTAACCAAACTTCGCCGGAGAAGCTCAAGCTCGCCGGAAAACTCCATTGCCGGTTTGCTGCTTCGCCGGGAGGGATCAACTGCCAGGGGCGGAGGTCGCTGCTCCGATCTGCTGCTTCCGCCTCTTCATGATTCCACCAGAGAGAGTGAGGGGAGATGTAGGTCCATGGACCTTGTCTCGCCGTCGGATGTTGTTGTTGCTAAGCTTTTACCGAGAGAGAAGAGATCGAGACGGAGCTAGCCGCCGCCTGTCGCCGCGATCTGCCGGGGGATCACCGGCGCACCCCCAACGCATCGTTGGATTACAAAGCTCCAATGAATGCCGGAAATCACAATGCATAAACATCATTCTCCAGCAGCAGAGTAGAAGATATTTATTCCCTTATTTAGCTTACTCTTTTCAAAATCACTGAATGCAACATAAGCATATACAAATTTAGCATCGGAGTCATATGTATTGAGAGAGAGAGAGAGAGAGAGAGAGAGAGAGAGAGAGAGAGAGAGAGAGAGAGAGAGAGAGAGAGAACCTCATGAAGTTGATCCATGTCGAATTCCATTTTCTGTTTCGGCGCCTCTTCATTTCCACCCGAAGAAGACGACGGTGTTGATGTGGCAGGGTTCCCATAATCTTCTTTTGCTTTCTCGTCCTTTACACTACTGTGACTAAGGTTTTGTTCATCTTTCTTCCCTTCTGCCTCATCGGTCTCGTTAAGTTCGGTATCGCTAGCAGTCTCGTATCCATCGGAACCATATCCAGATGCCGCCGGCGCAGCCGCAGAGGACGAACCAGCGCCTGTCGATGCTTCAGCCGCCTTGACTGGTGGCGGTTTTGGCTTTGACGTTTCGTCAGAGGATGGCACGGCTTCGATCAACACCATTGCTGCGTTGCTTTTTCTCTGTTTGATTGTCTTCCCCTGGAGTAGACCGGGGCGTAAAAATGTTGTAGTGTTGCTTTGATTTGCTTGTGATTCTGGAAAGCTCTGAAATCGGAGGTGAAGCTGACGTCGGCGGAAGAGATGAAGCTCCCTCCGGCGAGCTTGAGCTTCTCCGGCGAAGTTTGGTCAGAGTTACTGAATAAGAAGGCGTGAAAAGACCAAAATGCCCAGGGCAAATCGGAGGTCTCGCCTGAGACATGACGGAAAACGGCCTGAGGGACTTATTTGACGAAAAACAATTATTTTCGGGGACTAAATTGATGAATACGTGATTCAGGGGCAACATTGACAAGTCGCGAATAAGTGAGGGACCAAATCGTTGATTCACCCTATAATAAATGTTGTCAACAAGTTAAGTTCAAAACAACTTTAAGACAAGGTTGAAACAATATAATTAGAGTTGTATCTACATACCTACTACAACATTATTGCACATTTTATTTTTTGAAGGTAAAAATTTTACATGTGGCATTATAAAAAATCATAACTTTATGCATGTATGGTAGCTAATTCTATTAAAAAATTGTTATATATGTATGTCAAAACTTATAATATTTTTTATAAGATTTAGTGCAAATTCTATTATTTTCCTAAATCTTGGTTGGACGGTTGAATTGGTGACCACAAGGTTACAAGTTCATTTTCAATGGGATCGGAACTGCACATTGACGTTATTGGTTTGAGTTAGTTAACTATGCCTATAGGCAACCTAACTATACTAGATTGTTTTATCTTCTTGTAGTTCTTTGTCGGTTAGGACCACAAGACGGATTGCACCCAGATAATACATTCTAGCAACGATTACAGACTTTCACATAAATCATAGTTATGGGAAAAAAGTAGCATATTGATGGGGATATTAGGGGTGGACCATGAACATAGTGGGCTTACATTATTGGGCCTAGAGAGGAGGACAGGAGGACTGGGCCTGGGTGGCCAGGACTGGCTGCAGGCCGGAAAGGGATGCCGCCCCGGCCGGGGATGGCGGCCGGAGCGCGGCCCAGCGTGGCCCTAGCGCCCCGGCATGCTGGGGTGGTCATGGCCGGCCCCGGGCGTGGGGCCGGCATCGGTGGCCGGAGGGGTCGTCGGCCGGGGCGCTGGCCCCAGCTGGCGGCGGCACACTTAGCGCAGCCCAACGCGGCCCCGGCGCTCCGGCGCGCCAGGGTGTCGGACGGCACCCGCACGCATAGGGCGGGCGGGTGCGCCGAGCATGGTGGACCGGGGCGGCGTGTGCAGGGTGTTGGGGGCGCGGGAATCTCGGGAGTATGGTGAACGTGTGGGTTGGTGTACGGGAAAGGAGGGAGTGGGTCTGACCGCATGGGACACGTGGATGTTTGGGAAGGGATGAGGCAGGCTATAAATAAGGGCCCTGGATCTTTGGCTAAGGGCAACTCATACACGATAGGCACTACGGTCTAGTGGTCTTGATCTCATACTCTCAATTCAGTCACCTGGGTTCGATTCCTACCAATAGCATAGTTAGCTATAGCCCATCCTGTGGGCCTTGTTCTTTGTATTTGTGTCGCCATTCTGGGCCTGTATCTTGTTCTTTGTATTTGGGTCGCCATTCTGGGCTTGTACGTACTATTTTGGGCCTAGCGCCCCGGGTAATAAAGTTATTATTTGCCTACCCCCGTTCTATATTCCTATACCCAGTTTATGGTGGACCCGGTCCCAATAAAACCATCACATATATAGTTAAAAGTTGCAAGAAATTAAGGAAGAAGACAATGCAATCATATTATTGTAGGGTTTTACCATCTGAAATAAATTGAGTAATAATGGGCACAAATATGCCAGCATAGGACTCCCCTCCCACATAGAGAGCATTGGAGATGAAGTTAGGATGCTCTTTCAGCCACTGCAAACATATGGTGAAATTATATAATAATCAAATAAATGTAAAAATATTATGATATTATAACTATTATTATGAGGAAAAAATTTATCAATAATATATATATATATATATATATATATATATATATATATATATAGGGATGCACTCAGGTGCGAATAAGTGCCCAGGAGGGAATATGCGAATGAATCCGCGCGCGACACGTGTCCAGATCTAATTGATTAAAAAAAAACGCGATGGCATTTTCGTAAATAATTGAACATCGAAGTGCAAGTAAAATCACTTACAAGTGCACCTACTTTCACCTACAAGTACATGTAATTTTGCCTTGTTAACATTCACTTCTCGCAAACATTCATGCACCTGGGTGCACCTACTTATAACTATAGGTGCAACTATTTATAACTATACGTGCAACTACTTATAACTATATGTGCACCTACTTTCACCTATAAGTGCATGTAATTTTGTCTTGTTAACATTCATTGATCTGAGTTCAGCGGGTAGTAATACCCCTGAAAACCACCCGCAAATATTCATGCACCTAGGTGTAACTACTTATAACAATTTGTGCAACTACTTAGAACTATAGGTGCAACTACTTATAACTATAGGTGCACTTAGTATTGATGCTCAGTGTAAATTTTTACTTGCACCTATAATACATTTTACATGCACTTGTAATACATTTTACTTGCACTTCGATGTTCAATTATTTACGAAAATGCCACTGTGTTTTTTAAAAAAATCAGTGATCCTCATCCATTAGATCTGGACACGTAGACGGACAAAATCCTTTCCTATTTCGCGCATGGGCGAAACATTCGCATGTGAGTGCGATTCTATATATATATATATATATATATATATATAATACATTATATATGGATAACCACAAACAGCTAGCATAGGTAATAGGTTATTAGTTAAATTATAAGTGTCCACATTTTATGAATGAATTAAAATATGGGATGGAAAAATAAGTTCAATATTTTTCAATCTCTTTAAATTATGTGTGAGTAATATAAGCTAAGCTGAATGTAAGTTTAATTTGCTTATAGAATGAATCATATATACCTTTTGAACAAATTCACATCCATGGATACCAGCTTGTATATCGTCAGAGCGATTAGCTCTAACCGTTGTTGCATAAGAAA